GGTTTTCCATAGTCAGGTACTATATAAAAGCTTGTGTTTACGGATACTCTGTCAATAACAGTCAGATGAGAGCAGTCACCTGAGCTCACTAGTCATGGCAGGGATGCAGATGAAAGATCAGATTGACCCCGGGGACTCGACAGTAATACTGACTCTAATCGTTAACACTATTTTATTTCCCTCACACTTTTTATTTCTTTCTAGGCCTTGCGTATGATGAAGATTATAACAAGGATGATGCCACTGAGCCTCAGACAGTCTTTTGCGTTTGATGGCTCACAGATGACAGAGCATTAAGTGAAGTGTCATTCTAAATTCAGGTATCCTCTAAAGATCTACCAGTTTGAGGCAGAGCAATTACTATGGTTAATAAGATGTACTGAATGTATGATGTCATAATATTCATATTGCTTGGTATTTTAGCTGTAAGCTTTGGGCACATTCTGTTATTTTTAAATATGCTATAGAAATAGGCTTTTGTAAGTACATATGCTGCTTGCACAGTATTAAAATAATGATCAAGACAAAATACATTGCTTTTTTATCACAGGAAAATGCAAGAATGCATTGCAAAAGAGAAATCTGCGTGAATCTTATCTACAGGAATAAAGTAAAGCAGAAGCTCTTCTGCTTGTGTGTGTGTGGCTCCTGTGCTCACAGTCAGTGTCCAGCAACAACCAAAGCTCTCGAGGCCAAACCGGTGAGCTACGCTAGTACAACATCTCTCTCTTTCTCTCTCCCCCTTTTGTCTTTCCCCTCAGGTCCAATTAAACATACTGGACACACAGTTATATGGCTCTGCTGGGAGCACAGTCAGACCACTGCGAATAACGGCTAAAGAACCATTTGCCACCCACTTATTATAACTCATTCAATCATTCATCATGATGTGTTTGGTAGACTGACAGTAGCCTACGTTTATTTGCATACTTAAAAAGTAAAATAGTATATATTTATATATATTCCATCACTCCGTGTCAAATTAACCAAAGTTCAGAAACTTCCCTAGCTAAAAATAATAATTTAGGTAATTATTAATGGGGTTTTTTTTCTTCTTTTTTTCTGCTTTTTGTGAAGTCACTGGATCAGAGCTCAGCAGAGGCTAATTGTAGTGTTATGTATGTCCATGTGAGGGCGCCAGAATACTAGAAATAATGTTGCCTGTGCCTCTGTTTTCACAATTTTATATTTCAAGATGTGTGTACACGCAATATGACGAACATTCTGCATGAAATGCCTCTGACTGTTTTCTGTCGATCTAAGGTCGGTCTGAAGTTAAGCCGGGTACCTGTGAAGTGGTGGCAGCTCATCGTTGCTGTAATAAGAATAAAATAGAGGAGAGGTCTCAGACGGTCAAGTGCTCATGTCTTCCTAGACAGGTTGCTGGGACCACCCATGCTCAACCTTCATGTGTAGATGGTATGTCCACTGTCCACGGACACAGCTTTTTATTTTATTTTTGTGTGATGCTGCATCTACACCGAGAGGTGTCAATACAGTCCATAATCACTGTCATATTGGTCAAAACAAACAAAAAATTACTTGTATAACAGCATAAGCTGCATTTTAGTATGATTTTGTTGTTTTATTAGTTTTTTCTTTAAATATGTCTATACAGTTTTTATTATATTTTTCATTCAAATTTGAGTGATGAAAGTCTTTTTTATAGGTTTAGTTTCAGTTCTAGTTTTAGTTAATATTAATAACCCGACTGCATTTGATGGTTTGCAAACACCTGTTGGCTCCATTTTAGTTTCAGAAATAGGTTGGACTTCCATTTGATTTTAAAAATAAAACAGTGGCTTTCTCAAGCTGTCACTCTACTTAAATTTAGCCCAGGCTTCGAGGTGTGAATCTAATCCTGCTCTGCCAGTTTGCTGACTTTTCAATAAACAGATATTTTTGGGTATTTACTTTACGTTTTCTGCAGGAAGGGATTTTTTTAGG